GCGCGCGTCTTCCGCCCCCTGCCTCTGCGTGCCAGCATGTGCCAGCGTGTTCGCCTTCCCGCTGCCCGGCCTGCACTGCAACCGGCACAGGCGGCACAGTAGCCAGTTTGCACCCACCGGGCCTCGCGCTGAAGCCGTGTCGCCTGCCTGCACCACGCAGCAGGGCTGGTCACTAGCCCCACAGCCCCCGGGCAGCCGCCAGCTGCTGTGCTGAGCTCCGCACAGGGTGCAGAGTCCCGTTTAATGGGTTAACGGGGGTGACTGAGGGGGCAGGCTGGAGCGCCCCCACCATGGGCACGGGTTGCTCTAGTCAGTCGGAGCAGCCCCTGCCTCTGGAGGGTCCCATGGGGCTACAGCAGCTGTCAGCCCGCAGCTACCAGTTAACCGGAACCGGTAAGTCTCACCCACATCCCTCCCTGCGCCCCTGTAGCCAGAGAGGCAGGGACAGTATCGCTGGCTAGCTCAAGGGAGGCCATGTGGAGGCTCTGTCCCCAGCCCGGTGCCCTCTGGCTGTAGCACAGTGGTCTGGTCTAGCTTCCTAGCAAGTTCACCTGGAAACGGTCCCATTGAATGCGCTGTCGCTGCACGGCTGGGTGCTGCTTGGCTGGGCACCCAAGTGTGAGCACCCGAGACGCACACAGTGACAGGCAGGCCATTGTCGGTAGCATCTCTGGGGGGGTTTCTGTTCCGCTCTACCCAACCTCCCCCACCGCCTGCGCATCGCACTGAACGAGACCCGGCGTCTGATGGCTCCGGGTGACCAGGCTGGGCCCCCGTTGGCCCCGGCAGGGCGGGGAGGTGGAGTGTTTGCTGGTCCCCGGGAGCTGCTGCGGCTGCAGGTCCTGGGGCAGCGGTTCCACATTAACCCCCCGGCGCTATGCTCTCCCACCAGTACGCTCGCGTGGTGGAGGTGGTTGGCGTGCACGACCTTGGCGTGGGCATAAGCCTCGGCGCTCACCAGTCCATCGGCTTTAAGGGGATCCTGCTCTTTGGGACCCAGCGTCAGAAGGAGAAATACCTGCCCAAGCTGGCCTCCGGTAGGAATGTTTCCTGCACGCCCTGGCGCCCCCGGGAAGGTAGAATGCAGGCCTGCCTCAGCCTCCGGGCCCCCAGACACAGCTCTGAGCCAGGCTCAGCTCACTGCTGGCAGGCTCTGTGTGCGTGTGTGTGTGTCTGTAGCGGGGGGTGTAAGTGTGTGTGTGTGTCTGTAGTGGGGGAGTGCGTATGCCTGTGTGTGTCTCTCTAGCGGGTGTGTGTGTGTCTGTAGCGGGCATGTGTGTGTGTGCATGTGTGTGTGTCTGTAGGGGGGGTGTAAGTGTGTGTGTGAGTCTGTAGCGGGGGAGTGCGCATGCCTGTGTGTGTCTCTGTAGCGGGTGTGTGTGTGTCTGTAGCGGGGGGTGTCTGTGTGTCTGTAGTGGGGATGCATGCATCTCGGTCTGTGTGTCTCTAGAGTGGGGGTGCGCACGTCTGGGTATGTGTGTCTATGCCTGTAATGGGGGGGGTGTCTGTGTGTGTGTCTGTACCGGGAGGGTGTGCACGTGTGTGTGTGCGTGTGCGGGTGTGTACATCGGTGTGTGTATCTGTAGCGGGTGTGTGTGTGTGTGTCTGTGTGTGTCTCTGCGTGTGTGCCCGTGGGGGGTGGCAGCGGGGCCTCACAGCAGTGGCAGGAGCTAGATGCAGCTCAGGCAAGCTCTGTGTAAGCTCCTCTGCCCCGGGGGAGCCCGGCCTCGGCCCACGCGGCCCCGTCGGAGCCCGGCCTCAGCCCACGCGGCC